TAAATCCCCTTTAAGGGTTACTATACAAATTGTAGGAGTCTAAGAAATAAATAAAAGATTAAGATTACTTGAAGTGTAGGATAATATAGATTTTTATTGGTTTTAACGAAAACCTGGTTTAACCTGAAAAATAGAGAAAAGCCTTTTTTTGAATTTCAACATCGGGTTTAAACTATTCCCACTGATAGGGTCAACAGGAAGGGTGGTGGGTGGCGATGTATGTAGAGAAAATTTAAATTGTTTTCTTAAATGTATAAGTTTTTAAAAATCGAAACGATTCTGTTTGGCTACAATTTTTCGAAACGTGACAAATTAAATTTTGGGTGTGTTTTAGGGCCCCAACCTTGATAGGGAAATGCAGTAAACGTTATGGGGGGAAATTTATAAGGGATTTGTATGAAAATGTTTTGGATAAGGGAGATTTTAATTTGACAAAAAGATTTGGAACAATATTACAGGAATCTTGAGTTTAGTGATTTTTTGATACGGTTCGGTTGCTTTTAGAAGGCTTGCAAAACCCAATAGAGGTTTCAATCTGCTTACTTGGGTTTTCCAACAAAGATTCACAATTAATATCTTGGGTTAATGATGAGCTTGGGGAAAATGATCACAAATCACTAGTTTAAATATATCATGGAATTACCCAGTAATGCAACTCTGTCCCGATTTTCGCTTTCCCGACTTCAGGGACTGAAAGATTACCTGGGAAAGCAAAATTTTGGTTTCCTGCTTGGGGGGGGGGTGATTTTGGGTTTGCCAATAGATTTTTTCAGAGAAATATTTAAAGGCCAAAATTTTGCCCGAGGGGGGAAAATTAATCTAACAAAAATGATCCCAAAGGGTTGAAAAATATATTAAAAATCTCTTTGGTCAAAAAAGAGGCATATATGGGCGTTAAAACGGGGGATGGGCAGTTAAAAAATCAATTATTAATTAAAGAAAAAAAAAATAAAAAAAGGAAAAAAAAAAAGAAAAAAGGGATATGAGGCTAAGGTCGCAAGGGTTCAAAGACTAACCAAAGGGTTCTTTCGGGTAACAGAAGAAAGATTGGGAAAAAGTTTGGCCCCTTTAAAGAGTAACTCGGGTCAGATCCTGACATTTTTTAGTTAGTTTAATATTTTTATTATGCATCCCTTTCCCACCCTGTGGGGGGGTAGCCCCAAAAGTTTTCAGAGGTACATAATTGGCCCGGGGGACGGGACTCAAAGTTTTTAGCGGGGGAAAGTTCAAGGTAATGAACTCACAATTTAAAAAGGTAATAAACCACAATTTACAAAGGAAATGAACCCAATTTAAAAAGGTAATAAAACTCAAAATTACAAAGGAAATGAACCCCGGGTAGGTCTGGTCACAATCATGACGTTACATATTTACGATTAAGAGGTACTAAGGGGCCCGGGACGGGGCCCCCAAAGTTTTGATAGTGAACAGGGACAAAAGGTAATGACTACAAGTACAAAGTAATGAATTCTGTAAAAAGGTTACTTTCTTTATCAGGCTAGACACACAACCGTGTAAGGAAGGTGGAAAACTCAATACTTGTTTCCCCTCATTTTCACCCAGGAGAATACTACGATATTCCCGAAATAATAGATTATGTTGAACGGATAATAAACTATGTACGATTGCGGTAACTGTGACATGGTTCAAAAAATAGAGAAACTAAAAACCAACAAATCCCCCGGGCCTGTGAACTGTTTGCAAGGGGTTAAAAAAATGTAAAGAGAACTTAGATACCTTTGGCTAACTTTTTAACATATCACTACAAATGGTTGTGCCCGAAAGGGGAAAATGGCAAATGTAATACCCTTTTACAAGGGGAGGGGACGGTCCAGGCTTCGAACTATGACCAAAAAACCTTTCCTCCATAGTGGGAAAATTTAGGAATAAAAAATTGCAAGCAATTTGTAGCCATCTTTATAGGCACGATTTATTTAAAAGAAATTAACACGGTTTTTACAAGGGGCGTTCCTGTCTTACGAATTTACTAACTTTTTTCACTAAGGTGTTTGATGAGTAGATCATGGTAAATGAACATGATATTGTGTATATGGACTTCAGTAAGGCTTTCGATAGAGTTTCCACACCAGGCTAATTGGGGAAAAACTTATGACACACGGATAGGAGGAGAAATTTTTTCCTGGGTAGAGGCATGGCTGACAGATAGGCAGCAGAGAGTTTGCATAAATAGGGAGAAATCAGAATGGGGGCACGTCACAAGCGGTGTTCCTCAGGGGTCAGTGTTCGGCCCGATGTTGTTCACAATTTATATAAACGACATAGATGAGGGAATAGATAGCGACATAAGCAAATTTGCTGATGACACCAAAATAGGCCGTCCAATTCATTCTAAAGGACACTAGAGCACTCCAGGATGATTTGAATAGACTGATGCAATGGTCGGAGAAGTGGCAGATGCAGTTTAATATTGACAAATGCAAAGTTCTAAATTTTGGACAGTTAAAAAACCACCCCCCATTTAAACAAAAAAATTTCAACCAAAAACTACTAAATTAAAAAAGGGATTTTGGGGGTGGATTTCGGGGTAGCTTTAATCAAAAACCAAGAAAAAACGTGCATTATTGTTCCATAAAAGGGCTAACAAAATTTCCTTGGTTTCCATTTTAAAGTATAAATAAAGAAGTCCCCCAGGTTTTCTTCAACTTTTATAAAACCCTTTGGGTTTTAGGCCTTTTTTAGACTATCCCTTGCCAGTTCTGGTTCCCAAAAATTACAGAAGGGAAAAAAGGGTGCCTGGAAAACGAAACAGGGGAGGAAAACAAAGATATCCCCAAGAAAAAAAAAATTTTCCCTATAGGATAAGACGGGGGGGGGCCCAAAAACCCTGCACTCTCTCGAAAGGCAAAGTTTGGGGGGCATATATCGGGGTTTATAAATGGAAAACGGGAATAAAAAAAAGGGGATGTAAATAGCGTCCCTAAAAATTTTTCCCACCAAACCAGGACCGCAAAATTTGGTTTCAAGTTGGAAAAAAATTCAGATTCAGGAAGGATATAGGAAAGAAAAGGGGTTTGGAAATAATTTGGGGGATGGGGTGGAACAAACCCGGAGGGGGCACAGTTTGAGGCAAAAAACGTTGTGTAGTTTTAAAAATAGGTTAGAAAAATACTGGGTGTGATTTTGGACCCGCCCAAAGCTTGTGCGGGCGGGGCCCTGGTGCCGTGTTTTTTTTCCTTGTTTGGAGGTGCCCAAAGACTGGGGGGGTCTTTGGGGTTTTTTCCCCGGGGGGGGGGTTTTGGGGCCCTAACCCGGGGGGAAGGGGGGTTTTCTTTGGGGCCACCCCGGAAAGGGGGAAAATGGACCTGCCCCCGCATGGGTCAGTAACCTGTTGCAGTGTTTTTTTTTTCTTTTTGTTTTAAATTAATTGTCCTTGCCAAATAAAAAAAATTTAAAAAAAACAAAAATTTTGAGCCTATTGTTAAATGGGGGGGGGGGGGGGGGGGGGGGGTTCGGGGGGGAAAAAAAAAGGGGGGGGGCCGGGAGGGTTTTTTTAAAAATATTTTAATTTTCTTCTAAATATTAAACCCATTTGACTGTTTTAAGAAAACAGGGGAAATTTCCCGTTATTATAAAGGAGGGGATACCATCCACCCTTCCAGGTGGGGTTGAAAACCGGGTGAGGGTTTTAAATCTAAAGGAAAAAAATTTTTACCCCTCTCCCTTAAATTATCAAATTGTTTTACAAAAACAGACAGGTTGGTAGTTAAAAACCCATAGCCCAACATTTAGGCAACTTTATTCCGAAACGTTTCGCCTACACAGAGGCCCTTTTTCATCAGTACAGAAAGTAGGCGGGGCCAGTAAAATGGGGAAGATGATTAATCAGTCCATCACCCTTTAAGTCGTAATTTGAGGTTTTCAGTCCCTCACCTGGAGAAAAATTCTGTTCCAAAGTCTGGAACTAACTGAAGATCAAGCGACAGTGTTGAGACTTAAATACTGTCGGAAGGAGAGGTGCAGAGTAGTAGTAGTAGTAGTGAAATGTAGCCACTGAGAGGTCATGTCCCTCTCAGATCAAACAGTTCTCCAGGCTGAGGGACTAACAACCTCAAATCTACGACTTCAAGGGTGATGAACTGATTACATCGTCTTCACATCTCTACTGCTCCCGCCTACTTTCTGTACTCGACTGAAGAAGCCTACTGTGTAGGCGAAACGTTTCGGAATAAAGTTGCCTAAATTTTGCCTATGTGTCTTAACTATCCCTCTACTTGCTTGGATCCAACCTAAATGCCTCCCGTTCCCCAGGGACTATATGACCCGTACGGATTTATTGTTTCTCCTTGATTAATATTAGAGGGGGAAATGAAATTGACACCTTCCATCATCAAGGACTGTCTATGTAACTGACACTTTCCATCATCAAGGACTGTCTGTGACTGACACCTTCCATCATAAAGGGCTGTTTTTGTGACTGACACCTTCCATCATCAAGGACTGTCTATGCAACTGACACCTTCCATCATCAAGGACTGTCTATGTGACTGACACCTTCCATCATCAAGGACTGTCTTTGTGACTGAGGACTTTCGGTCTCGCGTTGAGCGCCTTATTTCTTGGGGAATGGAAGGTAAACAGACTAGACCCAGTTCCTTGGATCAAAAGCCTCATAAAAACACTAAAGGGTGTGAATGCTTAAAATTTTGATACTTCTAAAAAAATTTTATCTTCTGCACGTTTTAAATATATTGTAAACACATGTTTTTGTTAATATATAGACAGTTTAAGATTAATTGTTTATATCAATTTATTTCTTTGAATATAATGATTATTCGAGAATAATTAACACATGAATTTTTTTTATAAAACATTTATCACTTATGTAAAACTTGATAACATACTTCTTTCTTTTTTTCAATATTGTTGCAATATGTCCCATTGCAATGTGCCTCATTCCAAAGTTTTCTATTGCAATGTGTCTCGTAACACTATGTCAGATTGTTATTTATTATACTGATGTAAGAATGTGTGTTGTGCAGGCGCTGGGTATGTGTTGAGTGAGGCAGCCTTGCAGGTGGTGGTGGTGAAGGGTCTCACCAACACACACTTGTGTGCTACTACTCAGTCAGGCAGAGAGGACGTAGAGCTGGGTAAGTCTCTTGTATTTAATATCTTTCAATTTACTGGATAAGAACTGGTATAGTAACTCTAAATCATTTTAAAGATTGGACCTGTCTAAGGTACACTGCCGTGCTCTGTCTTCCCAGGAGGGAAGTATTTCGCTTGTGTCTGCTAACAGAAATTTCTAAATCTATCTAATGGGCTGCCACATTTTGGCATTTGTAGCTAAATGTACCGTTCTCGGCGGAGGGTGCACTCCCCTCCTGCTGACCACCGATAAATGTTTTCAAATATTTCGGTCGAGTCTGTGAACTGTGAGTATAAATGTTTTTTCAGATGGAAGGAGGAAATTATGAGCTAACCGTCATCTCGGATAGGTATTATCTGACTCATAATAGCTAACACCTGACCTCCATTGACCTCACCTTGGAAAGTTTGAGATCTATTGTTTTTACCTCCTGCAACTCTATTGTCCAGCCTGTCGGCAAGACAATAATTGACTTACGAGTAATATATCTTGTTGCAATGAAATGATTCTTTACATACATTCAGTTTTAGAACCACTGAAATAAGGCTTTATTTAACAATGTCTTGAAATACTTATCATATATGAACACCAGTTTTGCAAATAAAAGTATCTATATTGTGGCAGAACACACCACGCACGACTGTTTATGTGCGTTCTAAATTTGTGTGTGTGTGTGTGTGTGTGTGTGTGTGTGTGTGTGTGTGTGTGTGTGTGTGTGTGTGTGTGTGTGTGTGTGTGTGTGTGTGTGTGTGTGTGTGTGTGTGTGTGTGTGTGTGGTGTGAATCTTTTATTCAATAAATTATAATTTTTTGACTAATCACACAATATTGCTCTTGGATGTTTTACAAAAAAAAAAATCGCAAAATATTTTATTTTAAAGATTTCAAAAGCGTGATAATTACCTATGCTTTTTTTTTTTTGTTTTTATTACTCGCATCTAGATACTTATTATTAAATATCTTATCCCTTGTCTCAATCCTCTTGGTCTCCGGCAGGCAGTAAATGTGCCTTTTCTAAACATTTGCAACAACATCTAGGTACTCACTTTTTAAACCTCTTATCCCTTACCTCATTTATGTTGGGCTCCGGCAGGCAGGTGTCTGGAGACGGTGGGGGTGCTGGCTGGAGACTCCAGAGATCACCTGGGAAGAAGTAGGTTCCTCTCATTCACCCCGGGGACGATGCTTCGCCCTGGAGGAATTCTTAGTCACGGTCACGCCTGGTTCCACAACCTCGTCTATTACCCCACAAAGGAGGTGTAATATGCAATTTGTAATCCTTCTGTACACCAGAATATTTCCAGTTATTAGGCTGCATGCCATCTGTGTTTGAGTTCCTTGATTTTCTATACAAAATATCTTACCTTAAACATTTCTCTGATTGTATATCCATTAGAGAAATATTGTTAATATTATAAACATTAATTGTTAGACTGCCCCTTCTGATTTATTTAGCTTTTAGGCTGCCTTAGTTTCTCTCTTTTTCTCTCTTTTCTCTCTTCTCATTTCTCCTATCTTTCCTTTCTCCTCTGTTCTTTTCTCTCACTTTTTTCTTTCTTCTATTTACTTCCTTTTTCCTTCTCGCCTCCCTTTTCTCATGTAAATGCTACAGTCATCGAGTTGACAAATAGAAGAGACACATAAAGGAACGTAAAACTTTATCAAGTGTCCTCCAAGTGGTACTTTTAAGTGCCTGTTAAAGTTTCTTTCCTCTCTCTCTCTTCCTACAAGGTTTTCAGCTACAAATTTACTATAACTGACGCACCTTATTAACAGGATAGTGTCTAATTAACTTATGCTGCATACTTGGAAAATTGATAATTTACTTACATAGTTAATGAAGGGGAATCGATGAACTTAAAATCTGAGTACTTGTGAGGTTCAGCCAGTGAAAGATTTACATTGATTTTGAGTTGTGTAAGTTTTAATTTGACGATTTTTTTTAACAAATGTTTCCATGCAACATCTGGAGAATGTACTTCTGATCGGTTTCAAATTCTAAATGCTGGTGCATCCTATTTAGAGAATTTTTATGATTGATCTTTGGATATGTAGGCGCCAATTTGCCTATTTTATTGAAGAAATGGTGAAACAATGCTGATTTTCATGCGATAAATTGTGAATGCCGCGCCTGATCGGCACCAACCTTCTATTGCGGATATATCTTATATGAAGTAACATTTAAAATGTTATTGAAGTATACAAGGACTAAATTGCAAAATTTTCTTCAATATTCACACCTGTCTTTCTTCAAGCTCACTGGAGAAATGCAAAGTCTTGAAAACTCGCGATTTGTCTTCAAATCTTAAACGTTGATATTTTACTCCACCAGAAACTTATTCCACACTCTATTGTTCATTCTGCGTCCATAGAGGTAGAAGAGGCTGGGCTTATAAAATACGGGGATACCTTTCTCAAATCTTTGAGGCAGAAAGGACTGGGCTTATTGGATAAGGGAATAAATACCTTTCTCGCGTCAGTGAAGTACAGAGAGAGCTAGACTAATGGAAGACGGGGATACCTTTCTTGGATCATCGAGGAATGGGATCGAAACCCATTTAGTTCAAAGTGTGTGATGTCGAGGTATAGCTTGAGAATGTTCCCCTTGAATGTAATGTCATTATAATAAAACGTTTTATGTGTCTTCTCGTCGATGTAGGGTCCGTCATGCTGCTCCAGCACTGCTGTGTCCTTCCATTATGTGCAGCCAGAGATGATGTACACCATTTACTACCTGGTGTATACGCTACGCTTGGCTCAGCCCGACCACCTGCCACCACGCCTTCCACCAGACAATAATAGCATTCCTGAACAGGTGTGATAACAATTTGTCCAAGGCACTTGTCACTAAGACACTTGGGCTGCTGCCTGCTTATATATATGTACTCACCTATTTGTGGTTGCAGGGGTCGAGACATATCTCCTGGCCCCGCCTCTTCACTGATCGCTACTAGGTCCTCTCTCCCCCTGCTCCATGAACTTAATCATGCCTCGTCTTAAAACTATGTATGGTTCCTGCCTCCACCACATCACTTGCCAGACTATTCCACTTCCTGACAACTCTATGACTAAAGAAATACTTCCTAACATCTCTTTGACTCATCTGAGTCTTCAGCTTCCAATTGTGACACATTGTTTCTGTGTCCCATCTCTGGAACATCCTTTCCCTGTCCTCCTTATCTTTTCGAAGAAGTATTTTGTGTGTCGTTATCATGTCACCCCTGACCCTCCTGTCCTCCAGTGTCGTCAGACCGATTTCCCTTAACCTTTCTTCGTATGACATTCCCTTCAGCTCTGGAACCAGCCTTGTTGCAAACCTTTGTACTTTCTCTAATTTCTTAACGTGCTAGATCAGGTGTGGGTTCCAAACTGGTGCTGCGTACTATAGTATGGGCCTGACGTACACAGTGTATAGTGTCTTTAACGCTTCCTTGCTGAGGTATCGGATTGCTATTCTCAGGTTTGCCAGGCGCCCATATGCCGCAGCAGTTATTTGGTTAATGTGGGCTTCTGGCGGCGTGCTCGGTGTTATAGTCACCCCCAGATCTTTCTCCTTGAGTGAGGTTTGCAGTCTATGGCCGCCTAGCCTATACTCTCTCTGCGATCTTCTTTGTCCTTCCCTGATCTTTATGACTTTGGATTTGGCAGGGTTAAATTCTAGGAGCCAGTTGCTCGACTACGCGTCCAACATGTCCAGGTCTCTATGTAGACCTATCTGGTCCTCATCTGATTTAATTCTCATTAACTTCGCATCGTCTACAAATAAGGACACTTCTGAGTTTATCCCTTCCGTCATGTCATTCACATATACCAAGAATAGCACTGGTCCTAGGACTGACCCCTGTGGGACCCCGCTCTTCACAGGCGCCCACCGTGATACCTCTTCACGTGCCATGACTCTCTGTTGCCTCCCTGTCAGATATTCTCTGATCCACTGCAGTGCCCTTCCTGTTATAACTGCCTGAACCTCTAGCTTCTGCACTAATGTGTGTGTGTGTGTGTGTGTGTATACTCACCTAGTTCTCACCTAGTTGTGGTTGCAGGGGTCGATTCATAGCTGCTGGCCCCGCCTCTTCACTGGTCGCTACTGGGTCACTCTCCTCGCACCATTAGCTTTATCATACCTCTGCTTAAAGCTATGAATCGATCCTGCCTCCACTACATCGCTTCCCAAACTATTCCACTTCCAGAGTACTATGTGACTGAAGAAATACTTCCTAACATCCCTGTGATTCATATCTGTCTTTAACTTCCAACTGTGTCCCCTTGTTGCAATGTCCCATCTCTGGAACATTCTGTCTCTGTCCACCTTGTCAATTCCTCTCAGTATTTTGTATGTCGTTATCATGTCCCCCCTATCTCCCTTGTGAGACCCCGCTCGTCACAGGCGCCCACTGTGATATCTCATCACGTACCATGACTCGTTGTTGCCTCCCTGTCAGGTATTCTCTGATCCATTGCAGTGTCCTTCCTGTTATATGTGCCTGAGCCTCCAGCTTCTGCACTAATCTCTTGTTAGGAACTGTGTTGAAGGCCTTCCTGCAGTCCAGGAAAATGCAATCAACCCACCCCTCTCTCTCGTGTCTTACTTCTGTTACTTTATTATAAAACTCCAGAAGGTTTGTGACACAGGATTTGCCTTCCATGAATCCGTGCTGGTTGCCGTTTATTATCTTGTTCCATTCCAAGTGCTCCACCACTCTCCTCCTGATAATCTTCTCCATGACTTTGCATACTATACACGTCAGTGACACTGTTCTGTAGTTTAGTGCCTCGTTTCTGTCTCCTTTCTTAAAAATGGGAACTACATTTGCCGTCTTCCATACCTAAGGTAGTTGCCCAATTTCAAGAGAAGTGTTGAAGATTGCGGTTTGTGGTACACAAAGCATTGCTGCTCCTTCTCTAAGGACCCACGGGGAGATGTTGTTCGGTCCCATCGCCTTTGTGGTGTCAAGATCACTTAGCAGCTTCTGCACCTCATCCTCAGCTGTGTGTATGTCGTCCAACACTTGTTGATATTTTCCCTGTTTGTGTTCCCCTCTGTGCTTGTCTTCCCAGAGCCCTTCCAATCTCTTCTGTGAATCTTGTCTTGAGCTCCTCACATACCTCTTGATCGTTTCTTGTGAGTTCCCCACCTTTGACTGTTGTCTTCCTCCTAATGTGGCTATACAGCAGTTTCGGGTCACATTTGCCTTTCGATGCTATGTTGTTTTCGTACTGTCGTTGGACCTCCCTCCTAATCTGTGCATACTCGTTTCTGGCTTTTCGACTAATCTCCTTATTTTCCTGGGCTCTTTGCCTTCTGTACTTTTTCCATTATCTAATGCACTTAGTTTTTGCCTCCCTACACCTAGTAAACCAGGGGCTCGATCTGGTCTGGTCTTCCCATTATTTCTGTTGCCCTTGGGAAGAAACCTTTCCTCTGCCTCCTTGCATTTTGTTGTTACTTATTCATCATTTCATTTACTGACTTTCCTGCAAATTTTCTGTCCCATTGAACATCCTGCAGGAAGTTCCTCGTACCTGTGTAGTTTCCCCTTTTATAGTTTGGCTTTTCCCATTCAACTCCTGTTACCCTCTCCACTTGTAACTCTGCTAGGTATTCAAAACACACAACAACGTGATCACTAGCTCCTAGGGGCCTCTCATATGTGATGTCCTCAATGTCTGAACTGCTCAGGGTGAACACAAGCTCCAGTCTTGCTGGTTCATCCTCCCCTCTCTCTCTGGTAGTGTCCTTAACATGTTGATGCATGAAGTTTTCCAGTACCACATCCATCATCTTGGCTCTCCATATTTTGGGACCCCTGTGTGGCTCCAGGTTTTCCCATTCGATTTTCTGTCGTTGAAATCGCCCATAACCATTAACTTTGCTCTGCGCAAGTGAGCTCTTCTTGTCACCTTGGCCAGTGTGTCCACCATTGATCTGTTGCTCTCTTCATATTCTTCTCTTGGCCTCCTGCAATTCTGTGGTGGATTATACATCACTGCAATGACTACCTTATGTTCTCCAGACTGCAATGTACCTACTATGTAATCCCTTCCCCCAGTCTCGTCCATGCCTTTATATCCTC